CAAATCCGAAGAAGATTTAACAATAACCGAAACGCACAAATCTGAAGAAGATTCAACTATGACCGAAATACACACATCTGAAGAAAATTCAGCAATGACTGAAATGCATAAATCTGAAGAAGATTCAACCACTTCAGATTATTACGAAAGTAAGCTAACGGAATGTCCCAAAGAAAAGGGCATAGAATGTGATGATAAGTCCGAAGAGGATTGTAATTCGTACGATAACCAAAAGGACAAAGAGTGTGATGGCAAATCAGATGAAGATTGTAATTCGAGCAAAAACAAATATGATGTTAGTGACAACTCTGAAGATTATGAAGCAATTGCTGAAATGCACAAAACTGAAGAAGATTCAAAAATGACTGAAATACACAAAACTGAAGAAGATTCAACAATGACCGAAATTCTTAAATCTGAAGATTCAACGATAACCGAAATGCACAGATCTGAAGATTCAGCAATGACCGAAATGCACAAATCTGAAGATTCAGCAATGACCGAAATGCACAAATCTGAAGATTCAACACTGATCGAAATGCACAAATCTGAAGAAGGTTCAACACTGATCGAAATGCACAAATCTGAAGAAGATTCAACACTGACCGAAACGCACAAATCTGAAGAAGATTCAACTATGACCGAAATACACACATCTGAAGAAAATTCAACAATGACTGAAATGCTTAAATCTGAAGAAGATTCAACAATGGCTGAAATGCACAAAACTGAAGAAGATTCAAAAATGACTGAAATACACAAAACTGAAGACGATTCAAAAATGACTGAAATACACAAAACTGAAGAAGATTCAAAAATGATTGAAGTGCACAAAATTGAAGATTCGACAATGGCTGAAAGACTCAAAACTGAAGAAAATTCTACAATGGACGAAATGCTTAAAACTGAAGAAAATTCAACAATGGCCGAAATGCTTAAAACTGAACATCAGTCAATGGATAATTCCATGGTGTTCACTGACTACTCCAGTGTTCCGCCACCTTCCTCACTTACCTCGGCTTCAGGACCAGTTGAATTTAGTGATGCGATGGCGAAAGTAAAGGCCATCGCTGCTAAATTGCTACAAACGGGTGATACAAACGCTGTTGTTCCCCAAAACAACAATAATAGTAATAATAATAGTAACAATAATATTAATCCTAATAGTAACGTCGGCAACAATAACAGTAGGTTTTTTTTTTTTTTTTTTCTTAATTGATCCTAATTTATGGTAATCACTAATATTCACCTATTTTTAAGTTGCTCAACAAGGCGTTAAACGCTCGCATGACGACAGCTATAATTCACATGGTTTAAGAGATATTCGAGATGATTATCGGGATGACTATCGTAGAGATACTTACATCAGACGAGATCGGGGAAGTCGTTACGAAGATTATGGAAGGGATTCAAAAAGAACAGCCTACGATGGTGGTTTATCTCGCCCAGAGCGTATCCTTCTGTATTTATATGTTATAGTGAATAACAATTCTTTAATCAAAATTTCTTTAATTTGATTACTAGACGAAAATAATAATAGACATCGTTATGGTATAGGAAACGATGATCGACGTTCATATCATGCCTCACATTACGGACCACTTGGTGATTCTTCTCGTATTTCAACTCAAGAAGAGTTTAAAGTTCCTAATGCAGTTGTAGGTTTGGTTATTGGTCGAGGAGGCGAAAATTTGAAGCGAATTGAAAAGCAAACAGGAGCACGAGTTCAATTTTCACAAGGTGATTCAAAATTCGGGATGGAAAACTTTATTTCCCACGAATCTAATGCGATTTTCAAAATCTTCCATCGCAGATCAACCACCAGATGTTATAGAAAGGCGAGTAACTATTACCGGTACAGCAGATGATGTTAAGAATGCCAAAGGAATGATTCAACAACTTGTCGACGATGCTATCAATGGAAATACACTTAATCGTCGCGATTTACAAAGCGGAGGAGGTAATCGTTCAACTATCACAATCCACATTCCAAGTAGTAAAGTTGGAGTTGTGATCGGCAGAGGTGGAGAAACAATTCGAGATTTGCAGGATCGGAGTGGTGCGCGAATTAACGTAACACCAGATAGTGCAGCTAGCCCACAATCTAATGACCGTTCAGTAACTTTAATTGGAGATGAAGCTGCAGTACAAAGAGCCAAAGCTTTGATTGATGAAATTGTGAATACAGGAGATTCTGAACCTAACAGGGTGTG